CACCAAGGACTGAAATTGCTGCTGTTCTTCGGCTTCAACCCCTTCATCCTCTGCAGCTTTCAAAAGCTTGAATTCTGCTGGCAGGGGAGTTGCAACTTTGCGCTCATTCTCAATCCCATACTTCTCCCCCAGCTCTTTGATGATCTTCTCTTGGTGCAGCTTCAACCACCTGTGATCCAGATCCCTCTCCACGTGCATCCCGAGGTAGTACTTTACGTCCCCAAGGTTCTTGCACTTGAAGTTCTCCATCAGCTGCTGCTGCACATTCTGGATCTCCTTCATGCTGTTGCTAAAGAGAAGAATGTCGTCCACATAGACCAGAAACAGCACCAGTTTCTCCCTCTCCCCCTTGAGAAAGAGGCTCTCATCACAGCTGCTGGTCCCGAATCCCATCTCTACAACAGCTGCCAACTTCTGGTACCAGCAGCGTGGCGCCGGCTTCAAGCCGTAGATGGACTTTTTCAGCTTGCACACCCTGCCTGTACCATCCTCATACCCAGGCGGCTGCGTCATGTACAAATCCTCCTCTAAAATCCCATTGAGGAATGCCATTGATATATCCATCTGAATGAAAAATTTCCCACTAACGGTTGCATCTGTTGGGTGCAAACTCACATTGCACGACATCCTGCCGTCTGTTTGTACGAGTATGCGTGTGCGAATGCATTTGGGAGTGAATGGAATGTTCGTGTGTTTGTTTGCCTTCGCAATTTTCGCTTGAAGCATTTGCAGGTACTCACGCGTTGTGCGCTTCGGCACAACATTCTACGCGCTATGAACAGTACAAGAAGAAAGGACGATCTCGCAAAGGAACCCAAGTTGGAAGCTTTGCGGTTCGGTTGAATTGATTGTGCAGATTCAGTTCTATCCAACCCGAAATTGTACTGTTTTGTTTGATTGACTATAGTGTAGAAGGGCAGGCACTATAGGGGTACGATTTAGGTGAAGGTTGGATGTTGTTTGTCTGTATCTGCATGCTATTGGGCCAGGGGAAACTAGCGGAACCAGTTTTTGGCTGGTTGGGCAAAGACGAAACAGGTTCTGTTTTTAGGACCTGAACCTGGTTGTTCTTTTCCCAGGTTGGAAAAACAGAACCAGAGGTTGTTTACCAACCTACCACCTGCTGTTTTGTCTAGCTAGGTTGGTTCTGTTGCTTGGAATTATTTGGGATCATCCCTGGTTGTTCCTAGGTTCATTCCCAAGGTCCTTGCTAGCTAGAGTTATTTATTCCTTCTCTGTTTGTACCTGGATATAGTCAATATGATTCAAGCAAATTCCTTCCTTGATGTCGCAGATTTTGGAGCTGAACTAGCGTCACCACGTCATGCACCTGCTGCCAGAGGTTGAGTGCGGTCCGAAGGCCTGGACGGTATTGAAGGAGCTGCACGCCCCTACCTCCGTCACTGCGACGCTCATGATGGAGAGGGAGCTGTCCGCGTTGCGCCTAAGCGAGGGAGAGCCGGTGCAACCCATCCTGGACAAGATGCGTAATCTCTACGCAAAGCTGGCGATCGCGGAAATCACCTACCCAGAGCAGACCAAGTGCCTGAAGATGCTCTCGCTGCTGCCGGAATCGTGGCTTCAATTCACGAGCAGATTGAGCCTGCCGCTGAACCAGAGCTTGTGGACGCTCGAGTGGGTGCAGACGAAGATTCTGGAGGAGGACTTCCGTCGCCACCAACTGAGGGTTGGAGATGACGGCAGCAGCGACTACGGGATGCAAGGGAGCCGACGTGGCAGAGGACGTGGCTTCGGTGGTGCTGGACGCGGTGCAAAGAAGGACGACGACTCCAACGACCAACAAGGAGGTACCGGTTGGGGTCGCGGTGCGAAATCTGGACGTGGGGGCAAGTCGGGTGCTGGTGGCAAAATGAAAGGGAGTTGCTGGTATTGTGAGAAGGAGGGGCACCCCTGGTTTTTGTGCTATAAGAAACCCGATGAATGGACCCCCCAGAATCGTCACCAAGATGGCGGCGCGTGGAGGAACCAGAAAAACGGCGCGAGCATGGTCGCCGATCTGTCCGACAACAACCCGAAGAGCAACGGCAGTGCGGAAAAGAAGAAGGAGCGCACGGCGGGCCAGTTCTTCCATATTGGAGAACACGGGGAGCAAGGAGACGCTTCTGCCAAGGTTGGAGAAGAGCTGCACCCTCTGGACTATTGGGTGTTGGACACGGGTGCTGCTTGGACGATGACGCCGCGCAAGGACCTGCTGGACCACGTACGAGCAGCACCAATCAACGAGGTGTGCTCCGCCTCTGGACACGCGCTGAAGGTGGCTGGTGCGGGACGAGCTGCGTTTAAGGGAGCGGATGGCAAGCCACCGGTGCTGCACGACGTTCTCCTTGTTCCTTCCCGTACTCTCGTGCAGATCCCGAAGCACCCGATTGCCCAGCTGCCCCTTGTAAGTGCGTGCCCCATCCGTGCTAGTGCTCACCCCAGACTTGCCAAGCTTACGGAGGGAGATGAGGTTGGCCTTGAGTTCAGGAACAAGGAGAACGTCGTGCAGCACCACCGGCTTGCCATCCGCTCCCTTAAACGCAGCTCGTCCCGCACCAGCCACCTTCAGCGCGTATCCAGAGGCGGAGCACACCTCGTTGATCGGTGCAGCTCGTACGTGGTCCAGCAGGTCCTTGTGCGGCGTCATCGTCCAAGCAGCGCCCGTGTCCAACACCCAACAGTCCAGAGGGTGCAGCTCTGCTTCAACCTTGGCAGAAGCGTCTCCCTCTTCCCCCTGTTCTCCAATATGGAAGAACTGGCCCGCCGTTGCTCTTCGGATTGTTGTCGAACGAATCGGCGACCATGCTCGCGCCGTTTTTCTGGTTCCTCCGCGCGCCGCCATCCTGGTGACGATTCTGGGGGGTCCATTCATCGGGTTTCTTATAGCACAAAAACCAGGGGTGCCCCTCATTCTCACAATACCAGCAACTCCCTTTCATTTTGCCACCAGCACCCGACTTGCCCCCACGTCCAGATTTCGCACCGCGACCCCAACTGGTACCTCCTTGTTGGTCGTTGGAGTCGTCGTCCATCTTTGCACCGCGTCCAGCACCACCGAAGCCTCGTCCTCTGTCACGTCGGCTCCCTTGCATCCCGAAGCCGCTGCAGCCGTCGTCTCCACCCCTCAGTTGGCGGCGACGGAAGTCCTACTCCAGAATCTTTGTCCGCACACACTCGAGTGTCCACGAGCTCTGGTTATGCGGCAGGCTCAATCCGCCCGCAAATTGAAGCCACGATTCCGGCAACAGCGAGAGCATCTTCAAGCACTTGGTCTGCTCCGGGTAGGTGATTCCCGCGGTCGCCAACTTTGCGTAGAGGCCGCGCATCTTGTCCAGGACAGGTTGCACCGGCTCTCCCTTTCTCAGGCGCAACGCGGACAGCTCTCTCTCCAGCATCAACGTTGCAACAACGGAGGTCAAGGCGTGCTGCTCCTTCAACACGGTCCACGCCTTCGGACCGCACTCAACCTCCGGCAGCAGGTGCATGACGTGGTGACGCTGGTTCAGCTCCAAACTCTGCGACATCAAGTAGTAGCCAGCCGAGGAGCGCTCCTCCCCAATCATTATTTTCAGCAAACCGATCTGACGGAAATACAATTGCATTTTCCAGGCCCAATCAACATAGCCCTCACCATTGAACTTCTCGACGGTGACGTTCTTCAGCACCTCCTTGACCAACGAGCCCTGGCTTGTTCGCGCTCCCCTTGGCGCTGAAACACCAGAATCATGGCTGCCGCTACGATCTTGGGCTGAAGATTCACCAGCTCCTGTCGAGGTGTTGCCCGCCATATCTACCTATAACGAGGATCACTATAACACAGCTCTGATACCAGCTTGTTGGTGTAAGGGCCTAATAAACTCAAGCTATTAAGACTTAATCAAACTTAAAACCTCTCCTCGGGGTCACCTCCAAGGGTCCTTGGGTGCCTGGTACAAGACCAGCCCCTATCATCGGGTCCGAGTTTGTAGAGAGAGGAGTCAAGAATAACTTAGCCAAAACAACAAGAGTACCTTGAACGTCGCGCAGCGTATCGTGCAGACCGTCGATCAGATTAAGCTAAGAATTTTCTATATCGAAGCTCACTCCAAGAGATTTAAAATGAACCAAATTGCCTCGCAAAAAGTTCTGCCATTACGAAGTTACGGCTCGGACAGCGTTTGCCTAGTGTGTGAGTGCTAGCGTACTAGCGTTGACTCGTGTAGCATTCCGCCGTCGCACCGCGTAGAAACAAAATTCCAGGAAGGGAGGAATTCGCTTGAATCAAAGTGACTATATCCAGGTTCAAACAGAGAAGGAATAAATAACTCTAGCTAGCAAGGACCTTGGGAATCAACCTGGGAACAACCAGGGATGATCCCAAAAAATTCCAAGTAACAGAACCAACCTGGCTGGACAAAACAGCAGGTGGTAGGTTGGTAAACAACCTCTGGTTCTGTTTTTCCAACCTCGGAAAACAACAACGAGGTTCAGGTCCTAAAAACAGAACCTGTTTTGTCTTTGCCCAACCAGCCAAAAGCTGGCTCTGCTGGTTTCCCCTGGACCTGTAGCATGCAGATAGAGACAAACAACATCCAACCTTCACCTAAATTGTACCCCTATAGTGCCTGCCCTGCTACACTATAGTCAACCAAACAAAGTAGTACAATTTCGAGTTGGATAGATCTGGATCTGCACAATCAATTCAACCGAACCGCAAAGCTGCAATCTTGGGTTCCTTTGCGAGCTCGTCCTTTCTGCTTGTACTGTTCATAGCGCGTACAATGTTGTGCCAAAGCGCACAATGCGCGAGTACCTGCAAATGCTTCAAGCGAAAATTGCGAAAAGCAAACAAACACACGAACATTCCATTCACACCCAAATGCATTCGCAGATGCATACTCGTACAAACAGACGGCAGGATGTCGTGCAATGTGAATTTGCACCCAACAAAATGTACGTGCGAATGATGTTGTCAGTCTTGAAGACCTGCTCCTTCATCTCCTTGTCAATCGTCCAACTGGTCATGCCACCGGTCGTGCCTGCTGCAGGTTGACAGGGAGGCCCTTCATGGAGATGTGCATCATCTCCTCCTCAGACAAGGGCTTCTGGAGCAAGCGTGCTGCGGCCTCAAACTGGACCGGATATTCCTGCACCGAGCGGTAACGACACTTGATTCTCTCAAGGCGTCCGCACATTTCCAGGTCGGACTTTTTGACCATGAATGCCTCTTTCAGCACGTTGCAGAACTCCGGCCATTCAAACGGTCCCTTCTTCTGCTTCTTAGCGCCATACACTGCCCTGCGGGCCACCTCGTCCAATACACGAGTAGCTGCAGTAACGCGAGTCTCGGGACGCACATTCGCAAGGGTCATGGTGTTACTCACCGGGCCAAGCCAAGGCTGCACCTGCGTCTTGCTATGGTTAAACTCCGGCAGAGGCGCCGAGAGAGATCCAAAGGGCGAGGTCTCGGTGGGAGGTGGCTGGTGCATAGCCATAGCAGCGCCTACCATCGTAGGTGCGGGCGGAGCGGGTGCCGGCTGAGCAGCAGGAGCGGGCTGACGCCCAGGAGGAGGCTGGTAAATGCTCTCCCTCCTAAGCTCCTTCAACTGCTCATGAAGCTTGTTGAGTGTCACTTGCAGATTGGTGCAAGTATCATGGAGCTCCTCAATTTAGTGCTTTTTAGCACCCAGGCTGCGGTAGAATTGGCAAACCTCTTTTGTGGCAATGCTCAACTCAGCCTGAAGGTTCTGAGTATGCTTATTGAGTCGTCAATGGATGTCTGCTGCTGCAGGATGGTGATATTCTGAGTTGCCACTTGACACTGGAGCTTAACAATCTCCTCGAAGATAGGATAACTGATGCCTTCACCCTCAGTGAAGTCATTTTCTTCACCAATTGTCTCATTTCCACCAGTGTTATCCTCTTCCCCATGTTTGTCAGCTTCACCATGATTATCAGCTTCACCATGGTTCTGAGCTTCACCATGGTTCTCTGCTTCACCATGGTTATCCTCATCTCCAAGGTCCAAATCCTCAATATCATCCAGCTCAAGATCAGCCATTGCCTCTCTTGATTGAGGTCATCCCAGCAGCATTGGTTACCACCTCATTAGGTGTAGTAGGCCCTTCCTCCCTTGCCAAATCATTCTCTTGGCCAGATGTCATAAGGATTAAGAGAGCTTGTAAGATCTGGGTTGATTCTGTTTAAGTCCTTTTACCACCTCAATGGTAAAGCAAGAGATTCTTATAGAAGATATTTCTTCTACTGAATAATCCAAGGTTACCAAAGGTAACAGATTTGTTGCCAACACTCCCAATTACCTAAGTAAAAGGGCAGGGTACATCCAAATCTCAATAAAGGGGACTTGTATAGCCCTCAACAAATCCTTCAGATCCAAATTTATACTCCACTACTCAACAGTAGGGAGTCATCCACCAAAAGGTGAGCAAGAGAGATAAATCTCTCTTCTTAGCTTGAAGTTGCTGTTGTAGATCTTGTAGACCTTGAACTCTTCAAGCTTCCAGATCTTGAGTGTTGTCTTAAAGACAAGCCACAACTCCAAGTTCTATAAATAAATATAAATAAAATAATAAAATAATCTCTAGGGGCAAAATCTCCACTAGGCTTAGGATAACCCTAGCTCTAGGTACCAATGGCCCTTAGAACAACGGGCAACTGTGTGTTGAATATAAATCCTCCTTGACAATTCATATATAATCAAGCCAAGATTTAACTAATCCAACCAAGGGATATTCTAGCCTTGAAATAATAATAATGAGCTTGAGAGGAGAACTTGATATGGTTGTTGATGAAGCTTGAGTAGGTAGGTAGCTTCTTGTAAAGCTTGTCCTTGAAGTAACACCACTCTAGTTCTGTAGGAGAGCTTGTTAGGAGAGTCAAATGACTTAGAGAAATCCCATTTCCAAATTGGTAAGTTGGAATGGGGAAGTGTGAATGAGCTTGAAAGCTAGAACCCCTTCCACAATACCCCTTGGGGTTCTTCCCAACCATGGCTTCCATGGTTGGGGAGCCAATAGGCTTGGAGCCTAGGTAATATCTTTGTTTCGTTGGAACAACCCAATTTAGTCAATTTGTAGGGTTGCTTTGTTGTTTGGTTGGATTGTAACGCCAACTGGCACAATGTGATTGGTTGGAGATCCAACCATTCAATCCTCACTTTGATGGGTTGGAATGTCTCCAAACCTCAAGGTTAAGTGTTGGGAAAACCAAACCAACATTTTACATTCCAAACCTCCTCAACCCAACCTCAACTCTCTAAGGTTGCTCGAAGGGTCACAAATAGTTTTCCTGCATACGAGACATTTGGGACACTTCTTGCGTTGTTCTCCTAAGCGCCTTCGTCACGTCTCTTCACAGTGCACATTGTATCCCCCCAGTTTGTTGCGTCTGGTGAGGTTGCTGCGCCTGGTCAAGTTGTTGGCCGTGCTCCTGTCGGCATCACCCGCTCGTCCGTCCTGTTGCACCATCATCTAGGTCAACCTTCGCTTCCATGCCTCCGCAATGTCTAGGCTGTTGGTGTAAGGGCCTAATAAACTCAAGCTATTAAGACTTCATCAAACTTAAAACCTCTCCTCGTGGTCACCTCCAAGGGTCCTTGGGTGCCTGGTACAAGACCAGCCCCTATCCTCGGGTCCGAGTTTGTAGAGAGAGGGATCAAGAGGGACTTAGTCAAAACAGCAAGAGTACCTTGAACATCGCACAGCGTATCGTGCAGACCGTTGATCGGAAAAAGCTGAGAATTTCCTATATCGAAGCTCCCTCCAAGCGCTTTAAAATGAACCAAATTGCCTTGCGTAAAGTTATGCCATTACGAAGTTATGGCTCGGACAGCGTTTGCCTAGTGTTGGAGTGCTAGCGTACTAGCGTTGACTCGGGTAGCATTCCGCCATCGCACCGCGTAGAAACGAAATTCCAGGAAGGGAGGAATTCGCTTGAACAAAAAATTGACTATATCAAGGTACAAACAGAGAAGGAATGAATCGTTCTAGCTAGCAAGGACCTTAGGAATGAACCTGGGAATGACCAGGGATGATCCCAAATAATTCCAAGCAACAGAACCAACCTGGCTGGACAAAACAGCAGGTGGTAGGTTGGTAAACAACCTCTGGTTCTGTTTTTCCAACCTGGGAAAACAACAACCAGGTTCAGGTCCTAAAAACAGAACCTGTTTCGTCTTTGCCCAACCAGCCAAAAGCTGGTTCCGCTGGTTTCCCCTGGCCTTGTAGCATGCAGATACAGACAAACAACATCCAACCTTCACCCAAATTGTACCCCTATAGTGCCTGCCCTGCTACACTATAGTCAACCAAACAAAACGGTACAATTTCGAGTTGGATAGAACTGAATCTGCGCAATCAATTTAACCGAACCGAAAATCTTCCATCTTGGGCTCCTTTGCGAGCTCGTCCTTTCTGCTTATACTGTTCATAGCGCGTACAGTGCTATGCCGAAGCGCACAATGCGCGAGTACCTGCAAATGCTTCAAGCAAAAATTGCAAAGGCAAACAAACACATGAACATTCTATTCACACCCAAATGCATTCGCGCACGCATACTCGTACAAATAGACCGCAGGATGTCGTGCAATGTGAATTTGCACCCAACATAGGCATCATCTTGTCTCAAGTCTCCCACTCATGTTTCTGTCGTTTTTTTCTGTTATAGTCACAACACGCTCATATATAACTAAAATGAATGAAAGAGTGCAAAGACAGATTTTGGGAGAGCGGCTTCAAATGTTGAAAGCAGTTCAGATTCTGCATCAAATACTATGCTTTGTATTGGATTTTCAGTGTCATAGTGCCTTTTACAAGTAGTCATTTGTATCACTCCATTTATAGATAACCGATGACATGGTGTTAAAATAACCGAACGATGGTCTAGCAGCATAGCAACACAAGGTAGGAGGAAGACACAAGTTAGGAATGACTCCTAGCCTCTACAAACCCCAAGAGCCAAGATTCAGGGATGTGGAACAATGTCACACAGTCCCCGACCATGAAAGGTTTTACATCAATGGAGATTCTGCACAATCTTAAACTTGAAATGGATCGTGTTTGAGCTTCGAAATTAATTTAAACTTTAAACCAAAGGCTCCTGGCCTTTAGAGTTAACACTTTCTTGAGTAATTGAAAGTTTGATGCACACACCTTTGGCACATCAAGCGTTCGACACAAGACAAAACAGAAAATGCACACGACACGCAAACGACGACGTGGCAATTTGTTTGCTAGCCGCGTGTCACGTCGTCGTTTGCGTGTCATTTGGTGCCATCTTGACTTTCATGAGTTGCCGGAGCAAGCGACTAGAATAAACAGAGTCGTGTCATTTGCAATTGTTTTGTTGACTATTATTGGGATCTAGAAACTCTATACACGCCCTTTAAGTCACTCTTAGTAGTCCCGACGGGGTCACCTCCAAGGGTCCTCGGGTGCCTGGCAAAGCCAGCCCCTAACCAAGGGTCCGTGTTTTGTAGAGGGACACACTAAGTGTAAAGACAACGGCGTGCACTAGAGCACTCCCAAGACTCCTTGCACAACGTTGAAGACGAATTGGCTCGTGTGCAGAAAGTTCTCTTCACGTCAATACGATGATAGAGAAAAACTTTACTCGAAAGGATTGATCACAACTGAACACAAGCATGCATTTACAGTTCACCTAGCACACAGGCATAAGAAAGCACAAAGCAGTTAACTAGACTTCAGGACTTCGCCAGATGCGCCAAGGAAAACGGTTGTAGAACTACTTCGATATTTGGCTTGGTTCTCCCCTGTAGAATAACTGTCTTCAAATTCCATGTCTGCCAAATTCCCCTGCTGACTCCCGTCATGAGCGTTCGCGACTTCTCGTGCGCAATCATAAACAGTCGTGGGAGATTACCGTTTTCACGGAGTCTCACAGTTGAAAAACTGTTTTCACCGTTTTTCTCCTGTATCGAAATTGTCCCTTTACGCGCGCGATCTTTCCAGCAAAATTACTTGTAAGTCGAGTCAACGCGGGATACGGTTTTTCAACCGCAATCCCGAGCACCCCCCCGACTGCAATCATGCACGACCGATATTTCGGTCGTGCTCTACAGTGCGCTGTACTGCGCGTGGGCAGGGTGATCATTCACCCTGTCCTGTTGCGATCGTGGGCCATGCCACGCTCACAACAAAGCAAAGGCACACGCGCGGGCCTGAGGGCCCACATGCACGATCAGGACCCGACGCGCGGGTCCCGATTTCCTCACGCGGTTGACCTTGACCATCGCGAGAAATATCCAAGGGTCAACATTGACCCTTTGTAAACACCCACTATACTTCATGAACACACACGAAAACAGTAAAACAAAAACTAACATGATCGCCCACCAACATTCATGAACAGCGCACAAACTTCACGGAATTTCACGAACACAGTCACAAACACAGAAATTCACGAACACAGAATTCACGCACACTTATGAAACCTCATGAAGCAACGCAAACATACGGAACGTCTCGCATTCACACATGAACGTTCGGAACTTCACGCACATTCATGACGCAGCACGAACAACATGAAAACACACGCAAACAATCATAAAAACGCATGAATACAACATCACAGAAACACACATAACTTATGAACCGCTAAGGCGATTCATGAACCGTAAACGCCAAAATGAAAAGCACATAAATGCGCATCACTCAGAATACAAATTACCTTAAAATCCAATCCCTCAAATTTCACCTTGCTTGACGAATAGGCGACAGGTTGACGTGCAAAATAAGTTTTGCACCCAACACTTTAGAGTTAACACTTTCTTGAGTAATTGAAAGTTTGCTGCACACACCTTTGGAACATCAAGCGTTCGACACAAGACAAAACAGAAAATGCACACGACACGCAAACGATGACGTTGCAATTTTTTTGCTAGCCGCGTGTCACGTCGTCGTTTGCGTGTCATCTGGTGCTATATTGACTTTCATGAGTTGCTGGAGCAAGCGACTATAATAAAC